GGGGGCTGAATTGGGGACTCCTGGGGCAGAGCCAGACTATCAGAAGGGAGGGCTATGAGGGGGTCTGGGGTAGCTTCCCCCCACCCCACCCCAGGCCCCTCATAGCCCCCCCTTCTGATAGTCCGGCATATTTGATAATCTGGCACCCCCTGGGTCCTAAAGGTGCCAGATTATTGGAAGTTTACTGTATGTCCATTTCCCAAATGGAATTAAAACAATTTTAGAGCTCTCTAGCTCTGCTAGACTTTCCTTACTTTCTACCCATGTACAAATTATCCCATAATTTAAAAAGTATATGTCAGTTTAAATGTATAAAGTGTTTGGAATCCTTTGAGATGAAAGGTGTTATATAAACATTAAATCCTCATTTAAAAACAGACCTAATTTTCTTGGTTTACTGAAGGACAGTGTGATCTAATGAATAAGGTATGGGTGTGGAGTCAGATGATATGGGTTCTTGTCCCAGATCTGGCATTTCAGATAGTCATTGCATTAGGCAAGTTACTTAACTTTTTCTGTGCCTCGGTTTCCTCCTCTGTATAATGAAAACTACAACACCTACCTGAGTAATAGTATTCTCTTACCATCTCCCAATGAGTGAACATAAGAATGACCATACTGGATCAGACCAAAAGTCCATCAAGCCTAGGATTCTGTCTTCCAACAGTGGCCAATGCCAAGTGTCCCAGAGATAAAGAACAGATAATCATCAAGTGACATCTCATATCGCCCATGCCCATCTTCTGATAAACAGAAGCTAGGGACACTTTTCCTGCCCATTCTGGCTAATAGCCACTGATAGACCTATCTGTGAATTTATCTAGATCTTTTCTGAACTCTGTTGTAGTCTGGGAGTTCACAACGTCCTCCAGCAAAGAATTCCACAGTTGACTGTGTGCTGTTTGAAGAAAAGCTTATTTTTGTTTGTTTTAAACATGCTATCTATTCATTTAATTTTGGTGACCTGTAGTTCTTGAATTATGGGAAGGACTAAATAATTTTTCTTCATTCGCTTTTTCCATACCAGTCATGATTTTATAGACTTCTATCATATCCCACCATAGTCGTCTCTTTTCAAAACTGAGAAGTCCAAGTCTTATTAATGTCTCCTCATATGGGACCTGTTCCAAACCCCTAATCATTTTTGTTGTCCTTTTCTGAACTTTTTCCAATGCTAACCATGCTAAGATATCTTTTCTGAGATTGTGACCACATTTGTATGCAATATTCAAGGTGTAAGCATACCACAGATTTATATAAAGGTAATAAGATATTCTCTGTCTTACTCTCTGTCCTTTTCTTGATTCCTAACATTCTATTCACGTTTTCACTACAGATGCACATTGAGTGGATGTTCTCAGAAAACTCTACAAGATGGCTCCAAGATCTTGCTCTTGAGTGAAAATAGCTAATTTAGTCCTCATCATTTTATACATAGAGTTAGGATTATGTTTTCCAATATGCATTACTTTGCATTTATTAACATTAAAATTCACCTGCCATTTTGTTGCTCTGTCACCTAGTTTTGTGAGATCCCTTTAAAGCGTGTCAAAGTCTGCTTTGAACTTAACCATCTTGAGCAGTTTTGTATCATCTGCTAGTTTTGCCACCTCACTATTTACGCCTTTCTTCAAATCATTTATGAATATGTTAAATAGGACTGGTCCCAGTATGGACCCCTGGGGGACACCACTAGTTACTTATCTCCATTCTGAAAACTGGCCATTTATTCCTAGCCTTTGTTTTCTCTCTTTTATTCTAAGTACACTATAGCCACAGGATCCCTGTGGCAAGGGCAGAGATTTGGAAGAGTAGGGGGGCAGCAGCCGTGCAATAGGGTGTGGCTTGCTTTTCATCCCATTTCCAAGACTATCAGAGAGTGAGGGGAAAGTACTTGTATTCCATGCATACCTCTCACACCTGGCTGGTCTCACACCTGGCTGCTACACCCCATATCCTTGTGCACAAGCTTGTTGACCCCTTGTTTTTCATGCATGTTGGATTCATATAAGCTCAAATGAATAGATTTTTCTCACACTTAGACCAGTTTTACTGTTGGTGTAACTCAGTTGACTTTAACTGAGTGGCACATGATTATACTGCTGTGAGATGAGAATGAGGCATATACTTTTTATCTGGCTAGTTTCCAGATGAGCCCAGGTCTATGAATCAGGAGCCATATTTGACTCACAGACTCATAATCTATAAGGCCTGAAGGGAAATTCATGATAATCTAGTCTGACTTCCTGGGTATCACAGGCCATGGAACCTCACCCACCCACTCTCGCAACGGGCCCAAATCCTCTGGCTGAGTAACTGAAGTCTTTAAATTTTGATTTAAAGACTTCAAGCTACAGAGAATCCACCATTTATTCTAGTTCAAAACAGTAAGGGATTCATGCCCCATGCTGCAAAGCACATGTGAATGGCCACCTGCCATTAATTCATCAAGTTTGGTCTTAAAACCAGCTAGGTTTTTTGCCCCCACCACTCCCTTCCAGAGCTTCACTTCTTGGATAGTTTGAAATCCTCATCTGATTTCAAGCCTAAGCTTATTGATGGCCAGTTTATACCCATGTGTTCTTGTACCTCCTTTCTTTCCCTGCTGTTTATCCTACTAATGCACTTGGAGAAATCAGTCATATCTCCTGTCAATCTTTGTGCACAGTGGGATAAGGAATATCAGTATACGGTGCTAACTGCATTTAGCAGCTTACACAGACGTATAGTAGTTTAATATTAATCTAACAGAACTAGCCTATTAGCCCATCATAAGATGGGATTTTCAGGTCTCTCCTCCATGTCAGTCTTCTCTCCTGAGCCTCCAGTCTCTCTCTCCTCCTACTGCCTCCTCCTCTTTCTCTCTCTCAGCTCTCCTCCGCCTCCTGCCTCTCTCTCTGTCTCTTCTCCTCCCCCTCCTACCTCTCACTCGGGAGACCATAGAGCCCAAATGGCCTTTTGGGCTCCGCACTCCCCGTGCTGCATGGAGACTGTGGAGCCCAAATGGTCGCTTGCACCATTTGCTCCCCTGTGACAGCCTGGTTGAGCAGCACAGAAGTCAGCTGAGCACAACGGCAGGAGACGAAGGGGGGTGGGGCAGTGACGTTCACGGCCAGAGGGTGGGGCCTGGAGCCGCTGTCACGCCACACGTCACCACCCCGCCCCTCTTCCCCTCCCGCCGTGGCGCTCTACTGACTTCTGCACCGCTCAGCCAGGCTGCCACAGGGGAGCTAGCGGCCGTTTAAGCCCCACATTCCCCATGCAGCTGGCCTAGCGGGAATAGCCAGCATTTCAGCAACAGCGTCGCCCAGAGAGAACAGCCAGCATTTCAGCGTTACAGAATCACGGACACTGGGCTACTATATATATGACTAGATAACAACTGTTAAAGATATATCGCCCATTCCAGACAGAACCCAGGTGTTGCTGGCCAATCTGTCTGAGTCACTTGTCTTGTTGTTGTGGTTGTTATAGGAACAGTCGTACCTTGATCAGCAGGTTCATGCAGTTTCCAGAAGGGAGAGCCCTAGTGGCTCTGTTGCAAAGAATCAGACAGAAAGACTAGAGGTTTGACGTGCTCCTTCTCGTTATAAACTGTCATATAACACAGCCAAGTGGCACCTCGCCCTTCATCTGCCCTTATTGCTTCTTGTCACGCTACCCACTGCAGCTAATCTGTGCAACCTGGCTTTATCGCAGGACCCAGCACTGCTTTGTGGTTAAGTGCTGGCTGGATTGGGAAGATCAATGTGTTTCCCCTCTCCCAGGCCCATCCAGATGAATTCTGCTGAGGTGGTCAGTGCTGAAAGGTAAGGAGAGGGGCCTGGAGATACATGGGGACACAAAGAGGTGACAAAGGGAGCGGAGGAATCTCACCAGACAGTGACTAAAGCTGTATTGTGAAATGGGGCCAGGGAAAGGATGACAGAGTGCTGAGTCCTCAGCAGAGCACGTGGCTGCGGGGCATTTCCTCAGTATGAAGTGAGTCCTTGGACAGTTTTTTCACTTCCCACAAGAGGTGTGTGGTTATATTGAGTTAGCCTTCTCAGCATAAAATCCCAGTGGAGACAAGGCACTGTAATTAGCACCTCATGGTAGCGAGGTGAGGTGATGATGTTATGTGTATGGGAGGGGTAATTGACTGAGCTAAAGGCACCTTTACTTTGTCTCTGCTAGGATCTTTTAGTGAGCTCCCCAACAATGTAAAAACACACCAGCGGCACTGACACCCTGAATCCCTAGGGGGAGCTCAATACCTGCTCTCCCTGCTCCACTCCCAGCCCTGCTCCCATTTCACCCCATCTTCAAAGCCACACCCTGCCTCTTCCTGCCCCATTCCACCCCTCCCCTGCTCTTTCCTCCCAGAACCTCTTACATGCTGCTGAACTGATCATGGCAGGCGGAGGTGTTGGGAGGGAGAGAATGAGCTGATCAGAGATGCTGCCGGTGATAGCACCTAGGCAACACATTGTTTTGGCAGTGAAGACAGACTTTGATTTGTTTTGTCTTTAGCAGCCCTCCTGT